CCTGCATAGAATCCAAATTTTGCTGTTAGTATTTGTAAGAAGCTGGAAACCGGGGAATTTTCTCACAAATCTGTTGACATTTTTAGTGACCATTGGTTCAAGTAGAGCAATGATCCAAGGTTTATACATCCTGTTGAGGGCTAGGACTCTATTAAGGGATTTGGGATGAGCAAGTCCTCTAACATTCCAACAGATTAGATTCATTAACTAATAGAAGTAGATTTTCCTCTTCTCCTCATTCTAATAGAACTAGAAGAAGGAGGGAAGGGGGCTTCCTCCAAAGGGGTGGAAGAGGACATAAGATTCTTTAATTCCAGAGGCATTTTCTTCTTCTTATTTTTTTGGACTTGCCATCCAGCTTCAAGGTTCCTGGTTAACTGCAAAATCAATGGGTCTTCCTCTGGTATCTCAACAACTATTGTCTCTTGATTAGCAGGAAGTGTGGAGAGATCAGTACAAAGAGTTTGTTCAGTTTGGGTAGATTGTGGCATGGGGTGGAGGTGCTCAGTGGGTGATTCTTGATCAGATTAGGGATTGGGAACCACACTCTCTTGTACCAAAACTTTAGGCAGCTCTTGTGCAAAAGTCCCAGGCATTTCAGGCATTTTAACAACACAAGTATTAGCAGTAGGTACCTCCTTGTTCTGAGGGGCAATCTCCTCTAAAAGTTGCTTGGGGGTCTTCATTTTGAGTGCAGGGTGGAGCCTGAAACACTTCTCATCAGTGTGGCCAAACATATTGCAATGATGGCAATAGTAAGGCCTTTGTTCAGCTATGATTTTCTGCCAATAGCCATTATGCTCAGTGCCTAACCATATTTCCTCCACAGCTGGGAGGGTAATGTTTCTTTCCACCAGGATTCTAGCTACAGAAGGTCTAGACAAGTTGAAAGTAGGGCCATCCAATTTCAACGGTCTTCCCAATGCTTTGCCAATATTGAAAAGAACTTTGTGGTTGAAAAAGTGTAGTTTAATCCCTGGTAACTTAAACCATATGGGGACAATGGGAAGTTCTTTGTTGGGATCAAAATCAGGAGTCCACTTTAAAAGCTTCATTGGAATACCTTCAATCAATATGGATTGTTTGGAGAAAATTCTAGCATAGTATTCATCTCTTGAGAGATTAATAAGTATGTGTCTGCCATCAAGAAAGCCAACTTTCCAAGCCCCTTTGAATTTCAAACCATCAAAATACCTTCTTACAGACTCCATCTTTGGGTGGCCAAGTTGGAATTTACCAATTAAGGTAAATTTTTGACATTCAGTTAACCCATTTAGATCCTCTTCAGTAAAGTAGATTGCCAACTTCCCACCTTTCTTGCTAAT